GCCCCCTCCCCAGAGCCCCCGCACCTGCTCCTCCTCCTCGGTCCCGCCCAGCGCGCAGCCCCGGCCCCCGCGCAGCGAGGAGAGAGGGGCGAAGGGAGTGCACCAGGGCGGCGCGGGCATGGACGCCGAGTACCCGGCCTTGGAGCCCCCGCTCTGCGGCGAGCTCAAGCTCCTGTGCCAGCGGCTGCAGGAGGCGTACCGCGAGCTGCAGGAGGGCCTCACGCCGTTCAAGGATGACCGCTACTACAGGTAGGGCGGCCCCCCGGCCGGCCCGGGCGCGCCAGGCCCGGGGCAGGGGGGCTGGGTGCTGGCGGCCGCGGTGAAAGGCCATTTTCCGTCACCCAGGACTCCAGCCGAGATTGTCGCTTCGGGAAAGAGAGGCCGAAGGGCTTTCGTCCCCTTCGCTCCTCCCGCGCCCCCTGCCCAGGCCCGCTGCCCCTCTAGCGCCGCCCAGGCCTTGCCCAGCCTGGCTTTGGGCAGTCGATCTTGCTTTCGAATCTGGAAGGGAGGGTCTTGGCTTCTGTCCCAGGCACTCAGGCCCCTGGCGTGGGTGGAGGCGAGGCCCGAGCGCAGCGGAGGGCCGGGGCGGACTGTCCCAGAGCCCAGCGGCTCCTCGTAAAGAAGCTGGGGACGCCAGGGAGGGGCACCCCACCCTCGCCCAGCTCGAGGAGCGGTCGGTTTGGGCTGGTGGGTACTCAGCTCTGCCTCCCTCTGCCGCGGCCCAGGTGAGCTGGAAGCCCGCAGCGCAGGGCCCGCCCCCTCCTCCCCAGCGCGCTGCGCTGCGGGTCGCCAGGGCCCCTGCTGTGTGGACAGGAGGAGGGCTCGGTCAGAAGCGGCGGCCACCCAGTCTAGACGGACGGTGGTACCGACTAGCCCGGTGACCTGAGACAGTGGCCATCCGCATCTCACGCTTTCTCTTCTGTAAAATGGGAAGCTTCAACCAGAAGGTCTTTAAAAATCAAAGATTCCAATAATGATCTGCTCACTTTGCTCCGCTTAAGAATGGCAGGGGTGGGGGCAGCAGATGGCGTCGTGGTTAAGCTGTTGGACTCCCACATGGCTGGTCAGAGGTTTGAGTCCTGGACCTGGTGACTTGCTTTCTCACTTTCCCTTTTTCCTCTCTCTCTGTCTCTCTGGTGAGCATATATACCCTGTAGCAAATTTAATAATAATAATAACAACAACAACAACAGCAACAACAATTGGGGCCAGCCGATGACAGAAGGTTTATGTCGCTGGACTCCCACATAGTTGACCACGGTTCCAGTCTCTGACCCAGGGCTTAAAACTCACATCAGGTGCATGTGCATGTGTGCCCAAAATCCCAAGAGGAGACTGGAGGAGAAGGAATTGCAGCGTGGCCATCACCCGTGTGGGGGTGGTGATTTCTTACTTCCTTTCTCTCTGACTCTGTCTCTCTGGTGAGCACATGGCCCCTATAGCAAAAGTCTCTCTCTAAATAACAATAATGAAAAGAACGACAAGGGTTTTGCATCACTCTCTGAAGTGGAGGTTGGCATTCTGAAGCCCCGCCCCTGCTAACAGTCACGTGAATATGCTCTAAAGAAGATGTACCACACCTGCAGCAAACGGCATCAGCTGCCCAATGGCTTCCCAAGGGGAATCGACATACATCGGGATTGCTGAGTGGAAAAGCCCATTTAAAAAATAATCATTTAATTTTATTGATTATTATCAATTTTTAATTTGAACAGAGAAAGAGGGGGGAAGAAAACTGCCAGGTCCAGGACTTGAACCACAGCCTGCCACATGGGAGTCCAGCACCTTAGTCACTATGCCACCTTGTGGGAGAGAAAGATGGTGAAAAGAAAGGTGAGAAATCACCCCCAAGTGAGATGGCCACACTGCAATCTCTTCGCTATTCTCTTCCCAGGATCTTGGACATGCACACACATGTACCCAACATGATTTTCAAGCCACTGGGTCCTGGACTCAAACTGTGGTCACCCATGTTGGTGTCCAGTGACATAACCACTACACCATCTACTGGCCCCATGGTGGCCCATTTTCTTTCTTTTTTTTTTTTTTTTTTTTTTTTTTAGAAATTTTTCTTACAGGGCTTTTCACTTTAC